TGTCGGCCTGGATTATGGAGCTCGAGTCCCCCCTAGAGTATATCCATCTCCCTCCGACAGTGCGGCGCTCCCTCAGTACTGGCACTGGGAGGGAGGGAGGGAGCGTCGGCCTGGATTATGGGGCTCGAGTCCCCCCTGGAGTATATCCACCTCCCTCCGACAGTGCGGCGCTCCCTCAGTACTGGCACTGGGAGGGAGGGAGGGAGCGTCGGCCTGGATTATTATTCCATGTTCCCCACGCTTTCTTCCTGTGCCCCAGACGCGCTCTGGGTGCCCTGTGGCCTCTTACCTGTGCTGCTGGGAACTCTGCAATGGCTTCCCTTTGGAGACTGTGCATCTGCGAGTCGAGGGCGCTCATCGTTCTTTGACACAGGATCAGAGGCTGGGTCGAGAGAATTTGCCATCGTCAGCATCTTGTCTCCCCGCCCCCTGCACCCCACGCCCCCAACAGCCCCTCCTCATGTAACTCCCAAAACCTGTTAGCATCAGCCCACCGGTGAGATCAGGTTACCACCTTCCTTATACCGTAGCTCCAAACCTTGCCGCGAAAGGAAGAGGGGGAGCAAACCCATTGGGAGCACCGGAGACTTTAGCCGCGAGAGTAGGACGGCAAAATGTGCTATGTCATCACTCGAGAAGTGGGGAAGGGCCACGGTCCGTTTCCGTTCCGGAAGGAACACAATATCGGCCTCGCGTTTGGTTGCTTTTCCGTCATTTGTTGCAGGAAACCACTTCCAGAAAGTGCTGCGTGACTGGTTCAACTCAATCATGGGGTCAGTTCAATCCCCTGAAAGCTAACGGTCGGTCGGACGTTCGGAGAAAAGTCCCGAGATTCTGATATGGAAAGCCGTGAGTTGACGGGTGATGGGGCAGGGCTTTGGACAGCGCCGGAGAAGGAGTTTAAATAGAGTTCTTTAGGGGGTGGCGGGGTGGGGGGGGGGCAAAAGGGAGGGAAGAACGGGGTTGGGACGGGGGGGAGGTGCTGAACTGGGTGACAGTGTTGATTGGGGGCAGGCCTGGCGAGGGGGAGGGGGCGGTGGGGAGCGAGAGAGGTGGTGGTGGGGGGCGGGGGGGGCGGGGGTGGTGTGAAGCCGCGAGGGGGAGCGAGAGTTAGGGGTAGCGGCGGTACCCTGAATTTTTCACAGGACAAGGGAGCCGCCTCCCTTTCGCGCACAAGGTAAATATCTACCATATTGTCGACGGGCAGACGGCGTTTAATTTGGATAAACGTGTCGGTAAAACAAACAAACAAGGGGCAGGCGTTATACAATTAAAAGCGGGGGCGAGGCTGCTTGCATACATGGCCCGCAGCCCGTACGATTCCTTTGAGGCCTAACGTTGTGCTAAAGCCAACAAAATCAAGACTTGTACAATTAAGGTAGGGCCCTGGGTCGTGTTGCAGAACAGAGGGACCTGGAGGGGTTTTGCAGGGACATAACCCTTTCAAGTTAGCGTCCCAGGTAGACAGGGCGGTGAAGATGGCGTTCGCCTTCGTCGCTCAGACCCTTCGGGGGCGGCGGGGGGGGGGGGGGGGGGGGGGGGGGGGTAAGGAGTCACGTTGAGGTTGTACAAGGACGTTGGTGACGCCACTTCTGGAGCAACTGCGTGCCCAGTTCTGGTTCCCCACCCCCCCCGCCACCCCATCCTTGTTAAAGCTGGAGAGGGTTCGGGAAGAGTGGGAGACAGTGATAGAGAGAGCGGGACAGAGGGAGAAGGAGATGGGACGAGAGAGAGATAGACAGGAGGAGATAGAGGGAGGAAGAGAGAGGGTAGGGAGGGAGAGAGAGTCTCAGCAAGAGAGAGGGGTGAGGGAGAGAGGGCCGGGGAAGGAGAGAAAGTTGGGTGGGTTGAGGGGAACGAGGGAATGAGCGAGAGAGGGAGGAATAGAGAGGGGCTGAGACAGACGCAGAGGGGGAGATAGACCCGGGAGGGAGGGAGCCGGAGAGAGGGAGGGAGACGGAGATAGAGAGGGAAAGGGACGGTGAGAGATGGAGGGAGGGAGGGTTACACAATGAGAGAGAGAGAGAGACGGAGGCGATGGGAGGGAGGATGGGCCGGAGGGCGGAGGGCAGCGAGTGAGGGTGGAAGGGAGGGAGGGGGACAAGAAGAGGTGGGAGTAAGATGGAAGGAAGGAGAAAAAGGAGAAGTTAGGGAGAAACGAGAGACTGACCTCATGAAGCGGGTTATAATCCACATCGTCGCATGTTAAATAATAATCCAGGAGATCTGAAACAGAAAGGGACAGGGGGTTAGATACAGGGTAAAGCTCCCTCTACACTGTCCCCCCCCATCAAACACTCCCCAGGGACAGGGGGTTAGATACAG